TCTCTCTGCCAAAAAGACTGATAATGTCAGAGAGAATTGTGTAAAATCATATTAGTGCAAAAATGAAGCATGCCAGAATTGCTGGAGCCAGAGAGACCTGGGATGAACTTAACATCCTCCCTTCTCTTCTTTTGCCTCCTTCCCTACACATTGCCCCCCAACCGCCACCCCTCAAATAGATTTCATTACTTCATGGAAATAATACTGAGTTATAATTCAGTTATTCTTTTTCCAAATTCAGAGAATCTGAAAGGAAAATGCGTTAGAAAGATACTATTAAAAGAAACAAACATGGTGTTTTCCTTTAAGTTTGGAATTATTCTGCATAAAAAAAAACATGAACTTTTTACACTTCTACTCCTTTTAAGCAGGCACTAAACTTAGTGTTGTGAAAACAATGACCACATTACAGAAAAGATAAGACAATCCCAATGATAATAAAGATTTGGGGGGGGGGGAGAAGGAAGAAAAATAACGATTTTTCTCTTATTAAAAACAATTAACATCGTATACATTCTAAAATGAGACAAACAAGATTTATCATAGTTGCAGGCTATCATCTTACACCCCTGGAGCGAAAGAAGTATTTGGAGTCGTACCTAAAATTTCAATTGCTGAAAGATTTTTAGAAAACCAGTTTTGTATGTTTCAGCCTTTCAAAGGGAAACAGAACTTGGGAGTTTTCAAGGCTGTTTTAAAACTGGCAAGTTCCCAACTCTGGCTATCAATGCAAATCTGGGCAGGAAGTACTAAGGAAATTCTAAACTCATTCCCTCCCTCGGCAAGATTTTCTACATTTTCATGTGCAAGGAGTGTGTTAAGGGTTGTTCTGTTGTTGAAGGATCTGTACATTCACATCTTTAAGAACAGCCCTTGCCCCCCAGGAGCCTCTCTCTTCCTGTGCTGCTCCTCAGCCCTGTGTTCTCAAGTGTTTGCTCTTTCTATGGCACAATCCATTGGGCTCCAGCTAGACTTGCAGACAAGGGCGGCAATCCAGGCTGCAGATGGTTGGAAACTCAGCCTGGAATCAGTGTGCAGTTGATGAATGACTTCTTATACCTGACCCCAACTTCACACCAGGTTCTGAACACAATCTGAATACCACCCGCCAGAGAAACGGTACGTAGTCTGCACCTCTGCTTCAAGATCTTCCCGGGAAGCAGATGGGAAGGCAGTAGACTGATGTAAGAGCAATGTGATTAGCAAGGGTGTCCTGCACATGAAGTGACAGAGTGAACTGGTGAGGGTGTAGAAAAGGCAGAAAGACCAGCCTTGCTGAGTGTGCTTATGCAAATCTTCAAGTTTTTTGAAGATGACTGAAGTTTCCCAAATATCACATGCATAGGAGAGAAATAGCTATTTGTCATCTGCAACATATCAATGTACTAGGCTGTGACCATGTTTTACCCTTTTTAGCTTTTCCAGTTTGTTTTTCCAAGAACACCCCCTGCCCCACCACCACACACAGAAAATACCTCGAATTCAGACTGAAATTCACTCTGGATCTCAAAATGCAATAGCAACAGGTCGGTTGCTTTGAATGGGCTGTGACAAAATTCCTGAGATATATTAGGTTACAACTCAATCAAACATCATTATGTAAATTATCACTTAGCTAATGAACAAATTTTTTTGGTCCCCTTTCTCTAAAATCTGCTGATTATTCTGGGTGGATTCCCCATAGCAAATTTCTTTTGATGAAACTCATGCTTTTTAATCCAGTTATGTCTCTTATTTAAATATTATGACATGTCACCAAGATTTCTTCATTACTCCTTAATCAAAAGCAATATTCTTTTCCAAACTTGCTCTTCTTGGTAGGAAAGAATTTGATCAAAAAGAAAATTTACCAAGGGCAACTTTTAATGTGAGGTCTGGGAGAGTAAGCTAAGAATATTGCTATAAGTCAGCCACTTAGGTTTTCATTTTATTTAACTTACACGTAAACTTTTCTAATATAACATTTTAAGCACCTGGAAAATTATTCAAATGGGCAAAAGCATAAATATCTTATTTCTATTTTTAAAAAGTTAAGCAACAAAGTTAAGAGATTGGTTTTAATGTAATGGAAAGTAGGAGCAGGGAAGGCAGGAAAATGTCACAATTTTTTAAAAACCTTAATTACATTTGAGGAAATGGAAACCATTTGCATTTATTTAAAAATCCCATTTTCATTTTGTTTCATCACAAGAAAATAGCAACTATATCTAACACACATATTTAAGTTAAAAAAAAGAGAAGGCTCAGCATTTTTGCATTTTCTGAATGAATACAATAAGCATTTTAGTTCTTTAAAATCCCATGAAGATTTTCCACCAAAACTAATGTCCACAAAGAGCTTTTGTGGATTAGTGAAAAACACCTGAATTTAAAGAACAGTTGAAGTTCTGATATCACCAGAGTATGTATAATCTTTCTTGTCAACCACAGAATTCTAATTCTATGAACCGTAAGTGTTCTGCATATAGAAGCACCATTTTAAATAGCTATGATTTCAAAATAGGATTAGAACTATAAGCCAAGTCTAGAACACACAGGATTTTGTGAATTTCACCCAGACTTACAAATAAATAGAGCAGCATGTGGGTCCTTCAAAATTATTATAGGTTATATTTTGAGATATAAGTGTGAAAAGGGCAAAAACTGATACTGAAATAACGAAGTGGTCTTATGCTATCCTGGGGCATGAGAGTACTTTTTATATAGTATTCACGCTGGCAGAAAAATCTCCATTTTAAAGAGTAACTGCACATTGACCCTTCTTCCCATTCCTTGTGTGTCCAAGTTTCAAAACAGGGCACGTTTTCACTTCTTCAGCTTCCAGGGATGTTATTAATGCCTGTCATTTCAGAGCCTCCGTAACAACATTCGACAACTTCACAGCACTGTCGAAATTTTACAACATAATCATCAATGTGAACTACCGTGATAGCCAAAGTAGCTGATCTGATATTCCCTACCACCCTGATCTGATTACTCCAAATATCAGCTTAGGTCGCCTAATGGATCTAACTTCTTTAAAAATGTTCCAGAAGTTGATGGCTTTGACTGGCTTGAAAGTAACAAGATCCAGATGTTGCCTGTCTACATAACACTAAACTACATAGGACCCCAAAACAGCTCTCCTCTCTTCCCTCACTACTCCACTTTCTCCTTTACCCCAATCTCTCTCTCTCTCTCTCTCTCTCTCACACACACACACACACACACACACACACACACACACACACACACACACACTTTCCACCAGCATGGCTCATGGAGCATCCTGTATCTTTCATATAATGCGCATGACATTATTTCCTGCTACTAATAGGTTAAAAGAAATCCCAAGCAGAAAAGCAACTCTTCCATTCATTTCGATCTAAACTTTTTCTTTTCTGAATACACTTCCTAGTAGAAAACAAGGACCCAAAAGAAGAGCGTGAATTTTGAAACATTTGGAAAAATTTAGCCACATGAGTAAAAGGGATGGAATGTCCGATATTTTTCATGCCAACCCCTTGAGTTTGTTGTTTTTGTTTCTTTGGGGGGATGAGAAATGACTATTAATCCCCCCCTTTTTTTAAAACTTGTCCTTGCTTAGCCATTTCCTCAAGAAAGGCGGGCAGCATTCTCCTCCCAATCCCCAAAGAGTTAAAACTCAAGGCACTGGGCTGGTCTCTTTAAGCAGCAGCAGCAGCAGCAGCACAAACTAAATGCTCACAAAGGCAAAAAGCAACGTGAGTCGACCTTGGAGGGGCAGGGCGAATCCTGGAGCGATGGAAAAGGAGAGGCGAAAAGGCAACAATCTTTAATATAATATTGAAAGTCTGCTGCCTGGTCTGGCTCACAAACAGGCATTGTTTGATGAGACAGAATAAATGAGCGATAACTACGGCATGAATTAGCAAAGCCTAATCACATCAAGGAGTCCTGGTGACAGCACGGATCACTCAGGCACGCCTTGCTCACTCTCCACATATTTATCCATGAAGAAGACTGTGGAGTCTGGCGAATGCGATACAAAATAATATCATCCCTCAAGAAATAGAATCCATGCATTCAAGGTGGGCAGGCTACCAACATCCCCCCCGCCGCCCCCCCCTCTCCAAATCAAGTCCAATCTATTTGACAAATTGGAGCAGGGATATCACACCTGAGAGTCCTTCATGTGTGAACTGCAGGAGAAAGTTCATGGTTGGCACTGCCCACTGCTTAGTTACATGGGCTTCCCACTGGCCCCCTAATGATCATTTGAGCACACACATAAAGCCTGAAGTATTTAACCAATTCACGTCCAATTACCATCAGTTACATTTCAGCCCATTCCAAGCCCCAGGCCTTCTGGTGGCAGCTAACACAGGCAAACGGAGCTTCTAAAAGTCAAGAACATCTCTGGCAAAGCTCCACAATTCAGTCTGTAGCATCCTGATCACCCCCCCATAGGAAACAAAACGTGTAAGGCAAATAAAATAAAATAAAAAATACACCCAAACAAACTCCAAGAGACTTTAGTTCACTGCCGTCTACCTTCCACGCCCTTCTTTTATTCTACATTCAGCGATTAAAAGTTTGAGTTCCCCCCACCCTGGCGTGTCCTATCCAGTGGGAAAAACCCTCGCAGAGTCACAAACAAAGAACAGCTCACCAGCAAAGCCCCTGAAATTGTATTCTCGTGCCTGATAATCACCGGTAGGATCTCCTTTCTAACAACCCTGCCCATCTGCAAAGGACTTTCCAGATACCAGGAACGTTTATGCTGCCAAATAACAACAAAAGAACTCCCGTGAAACTATGAGCTCTCCTTAAAGAGAAAGCCGGGATTCCGGGCTTGCTCTCTTCCTATATTCTCCGCTGCCTTATTAACTCCGTGGGTATGTTACTAATTTCAAAGAAGCAGGAAGAGGTGATGGGAGGGAGGGGGAGGTAAATACTAATTCACATGCCTGCCTGTTTCCTAGCCAAGTGCAGAAGGAGAGATACCACACTGACTGCCAGACTATGGGTCAGAGCCATACCTTGGTTTGGAGATAATGAGGATAGTAGTAAGTGTACTGGGGGTACATTTGTGGCTGATCCAGGCGTTTGCCCATGTAGCTGGAATCTTTATCTCCGAGGCAGGGAACTGGATGACAGGGTATAGTGCCCCAGGCCGAGCTTCCTCTTAAGCCACTATTCCTGACAGTCCCGATGACTGATGAGGCTTCGGAGATTGCTCGTCTTCCACCACTCGCTAGTTCCAACACAGCAAGAATATAAAAAAGAAACACACCAAAAAAAAAAAAATAGGAGACGGGGATCGGTGGGAAAAATCAAACCCCACACACAGCTTCCCCAGATCTTGTCTGCCTTTTCCCAGCTGCCGGGGTCCACTTGGGATGAGACAGTTTGTTCTCTACCAGGCTGCCTGTATTGATGTCAATTGCCAGCGTTTGTAAAAGGGGGAAAGGAAAAAAAAAATCAAAGTCCTTTCAGCATAACTCCGAATCCTTGCAGATCAGCTTCCTGTCTCCTGTTTGTCTCTTTCCTCACCTTAAAGCAAAAGCAAATCAAGAGGGAAAAGAAAGAAAGAGAAAGAAAGAAGAAAAAAGAAAACAGGGAGGGAACAGAAAGAAAAAGAAAGGGGAAAAGAAAAAAGGAAAAAAAAAAAAAAACCTTGCACAGCTTAGTTGCTGCTGTCTCCCTCCCAGAGTGACATGGTGATCCGGGCTTGTCCTGTCCTTTCATTCACTTCCCCTCCTTCCAGCCGGTGGGTGGAACCGAGAGAGCCTCTCCAGGGAGCGGCGTACGCAGTCCAGAAGGCTGCAGTATTTCCTCCAAGAAAAAAAAAAAAAAGGCTGCTTCAACCCCTGCTGCAAGCAAAGTTCCGATTCCCTCTGCTGGCTATCTCGAATAGCAAAGCGATTTTTGCAGCGAAGCTGCTGCCGCTGGAACTGAACCGGGGGACTCAGCTGCGGGCGGTGGATTGTTTCTTATCCTTCCCTCCATCGGCTCCACAGAGGAGCTGCCTTCTTTCCTTTTCATGCCAAGTTTAAAGGTAAGCCACCTGGCTAAACAAAACAGTGCGGACCTCGGGAGGGAGGCGAGGACAAGGGAGGAAGGAGGGAGAAAGGGGGGGAAAAAATCCAGGAAGAGGGACTAACCTAGCTGGTTAAAATGCAAAAAGTGTGTCTCCGGATGCTTTCAAAACCCCGTGAACACCCTGAAGCCAGATGAATCTAACATTTTAGAAACGAACACTTTAGAAACTAACATTTTACTTCTTGGAGGACATGGGGGATGCCAAGTGTTGAGGAAATTTGGAGTCTACACCAGAACTCTACTGTTAACAAGCCACGCATCACAGATCACAGTGACCAGCTTATAGCAGAAATAGTCATTCTTAGCATCACAGCCCATTTGGAAATATCAAAAAGAGGTGTTCCGCCGGGCTTTTGAACTTCTTTATAAATAAAAACACCAACACCGGTCCGCTCATGGTCTACCTCGTTATGATCTTGATCATGGATGTTCTAATTGCTACACTGATATCACACACAGAAAAAGCACGAAAATCATAATTACTTGGCAGAGTTTTCCCCCACCAACAGTAAGTAATATTCTGACATGTCGATCAGCTGCTGCATTATAATACAAATTGTTTCTGAGAAAATATATTTCCTTAAAGGGTCTCTTTTCAAGGCTGGCGAGGCTAAAATTAGCCTCGCCAGCTGTGTTTGCTGTGAGTGCTCACGCATGCCCAAAGCGCTGGGCAGGCCAATACTGAGCCGCTCTCCACTTTTCCAAGTCGGCTCTGGACTCCCCAACCCTGAGTCGCTTTTTCAGAGAGAAAGTTCCTGGTACAAATCCAGCTCGCTGGTCAAGAACAGAGACTTCTTCGGGGCCAATGCACAATATTGTATTCATCCATGTTCAAGTCCCACCATCCCTGCGGCCATCAGCTTCCGCTCAGGAGTCTGGTTTCTGGAAGCTGTGTGAGTGCGTGCATGTTCCTTGGAGAAAGATAAGGGTGGCGAGTAAATCATTTTATGTTTGACTTTGGACACAACAATCAGCAGGAAGGAAGGAAGGAAGGAGAGAGGGTGGGAGAGAAGGGGGTAGGAGCCCTGAGAGCCCTGTCATGAAGGAAATGCAACCAGCTGGGCTGATGTTTAAATGTGTTATTCTGGGCCTCAATTGTCCCATCTGGAAAATGGAAATATTGCCAACTTACCTGGCTGAAGGTGGTACACGAAATCAGATACTGAGTAAAAAATCCCATTGATTAAAAAATTCATCTCCTTGCTCGGGCAATAGAGTCCTGATTCAAGCTTCCTTCTCCAGGTAAATCCTTCCCTTTACCTTCTATACCCGAGTCCCGATCAACAGTTTTTAGAACAGGAAGGTGTTCTCTCAGGGCCTCCTGTTCTCCCAAACCCACTCCCACGGCCCTTACCCTTCAGCCCACCCTTTAGGTCGCAGCATAGGTAACAGCCCCGCACAGTAGCTTTGACTGAATCCTTGCTTCCCCCCTGCCCCTTGTATTTGCCCTAATATTGGGCTTATCCCGTGTAACTGCCTGTTAATTGCATGTTGCTTCTGAGGTGTTCTGAAAGCATCACAAAACCAGGGAAGTGGGAGTTCCCATCACTCTGGTTCACTTTCATATTTCCAAAACCGGTGAGGTGTCTGGCATACAATGGACACTCCGTACAGGTTTGATGAATGAGACACGTAGACATGATCGTTCTAACACCACTCATATTCTTATTCCAGTCCACTCCAGTCCATTTCTGGGTACAGGGGATGTGGGGATACACTGATCAGGACAAGGCCCTTCCCTCGTAGAGTGTGTATTCTAGGGGGTGAGATAAAGGGATAAGCAAGGAAGTAGGCACTATAAGATCAGGTGACATTTAGTGCTGCTACAACCTACACAGCTGAGTAAGCGGCCCAGGGATTCCTCCTTTAATCGGGGAGTAGGAAATGCTCTCCAAGGAGGAGCTCTGGGGTTAAAGGAAGAGCGTAAACCATGACCTGGTGTTAGACCAGTGGTTCTCAACCTTCCTAATGCCGCGACCCTTTAATACAATTCTTCATGTTGTGGTGACCCCCAATTTCATTGTTACAAATTGAACATAATTAAAGCATAGTGATTAATCACAAAAGCAATATGTAATTATATATGTGTTTTCCGATGGTCTTAGGCGACCCCTGTGAAAGGGTCGTTCGACTCCCAAAGGGGTCGCGACCCACAGGTTGAGAAGCGCTGTGTTAGACTGTAAGAATCAAGCCTTGGCTCCCACCTGAACTGCCTTAGTTCCAGTCCTGCCTCTGACGTATCACTGTGCCCCCATTTATTCCCATCCATCCAATGGCACTGCCCACGCCCGACAGTTACTGTCAGAATTCACCAAGTAAACATGTGAAGTATTTAGAATACTGTGGAACATATTGGATCTGCTTAAAAAAAAAAAAAAAAAAGTAAGCTTGCATCTGGGGGAAGAGCATTCCGGGCAGAGGGAACAGCAGTACAGAAAGCCTGGCAACAAGAGCCCGTCTCTGGAATGTGTGAGAAATGGTGCTGGGGCTGGAATGGAGCAAGTGAAGAGTAAAGACTATAAAAATAGCTCTGCGGAGGAACCCTGGAGCCAGACTGTAAAAGCCTTGGTGAGAACTTGGTATGGACAGCTCAGTTCGTGACAGTTGATAGTCTGCAGCCAGGACTCTATCCAAGTGTCTGGCTTTAGAGCTAGACATCTTCAACTACAGAATGCTGTCCTCCTCAAATGTCCTCCTCCAAATGCTAAGACCCATATGCTCAGGATCCTAGGACTGCCTCTGCCAATTTCACCACCATGGGCAAAGGGTATCAGTGTTCTTCTATTAATAAGTGATCTAGGTACTCCCTGAGGGGAAAAGAATACTGTCTTATTTGCAAATAAAAGGTAAAATAACTCCTCAGCCCAAGCTACAGCCCAGTTACGTGCACTGATGTCATCAGCAATTTCTACCCAAATGGCCACAAAAGGCAATTCTGGTTGTTGTTTTTTTAGATTATTGTTATATTCTTTGCATCAATTGTCATTAGCCAAAACAATTCATTGAACATTCAAAGCTTTTCTTAAATAGCAGAAAGGTGGTTTACCACTTGTGAGAATTGTAAAACCCATGTGTTTGCTGTGGTTTTTTTTTTTTTAAATATATTTTATTGATTTTTTACAGAGAGGAAAGGAGAGAGATAGAGAGTTAGAAACATCGATGAGAGAGAAACATCAATCAGCTGCCTCCTGCACATCTCCTACTGGGGATGTGCCCGCAACCCAGGTACATGCCCTTGACCGGAATCGAACCTGGGACCCTTCAGTCCGCAGGCCGACGCTCTATCCACTGAGCCAAACCGGTTTCGGCTGCTGTGGTTTTTTTAACTTTCCCCCTCAGAGATACCAGTAGCCTTGCCAGTTTGGGAGGGAAGATATTCATGTCAGAAATAGTTTTCAGCCCTAGCCGGGTTGGCTCAGTGGATGGAGCATCGGCCTGCGGATTGAAGAGTCCCGGGTTCGATTCTGGCCAAGGGCATATGCCTGGGTTGCGGGCTCGATCCCCAGTGTGGGGTGTGCAGGAGGCAGCCAATCAATGATTCTCTCTCATCATTGATGTTTCTATCTCTCTCTCCCTCTCCCTTCCTCTCTGAAATCAATAAAAAAATATATAATAAACATTTTTTTAAAAGGAATAGTTTTCATATCACGTCTGCTCTGTTGGAGCAGTACTGCTTTCCATTTAAATCAGTGGTTCTCAACCTTGGCTGCACATTAGAATCACCTGGGAAACTTTTTACAATCCTGATTTCTGGGCCTCATCCTCTGGAAATTCTGTTTCTTTATTATGGGGTGGGGACCTCAGTTGATTTCAGTTAGTTCAAGCTAAAGAGGTAATGAAATCTGGAGAGGTTTTGTTAACTTTGGCCTTGTATGGGGTGGGGCCACAACATTAGTAACAAAGAAACAGAATTTCCGGAGGATGAGGCCCAGAAATCAGGATTTTAAAAAGATTCCCAGGTGATTCTAATGTGCAGCCAAGGTTGAGAACCACTGATTTAAATGATCAAGGTAAGGTAGAAGGTAACTCGTTTAAGACACTCTTTAAATCAGAAGTCTGCTGTGTCCCTTTTGCCAACTAACCACCAAATTTTGTACAAATTCAGGAGCAGCAAACTGCAGTGAAGGGCATGGACTCTTACAGAGACCATGTGACTCACAGCACAGAATGGAGAGGTCCTTTTTTTAGACAAGTTCTTGGCAAACAGGAATGAGGCGATGCCTCAGACACACCATCTGAGTGGAGAAGTGATGGGACTGAAATGAGGGTCAAGAAGAGGATAGAGATGGAGACTCTCTTCTCATTGGTCCTTGACCTATCCACCCAAAAAAAACAAAAAACAAAAAACTGAGTCCTCTCTTGGAAGGTTTTTTTAAATTCTAAAGACTTAGTCAAAAGCAAAGACAAAGAACAATGGAGATAAAAGAAAAGAACATAATTGTACTGTCTTTGAAATCACATATATTAGTCTATCTTCAAGAAGACATTCATGCCCGGCCAACATGGCTCAGTGGTTGAGCATCCACCTGTGAACCAGGAGGTCAAGGTTCATATTCCTGGTCAGGGCATATGCTGGAGTTGCAGGCTCGATCCTCAGTGGGGGGCGTGTAAGAGGCAGCTGATCAATGATTTTTTTAAAAAATATATTTTATTGATTTTTTACAGAGAGGAAGGGAGAGGGATAGAGAGTCAGAAACATTGATGAGAGAGAAACTTTGATCAGCTACCTCCCACACACCCCCTACTGGGGATGTGCCAACAACCAAGGTACATGCCCCTGACTTGAATCGAACCCAGGACACTTCAGTCCATAGCCCGATGCTCTATCCACTGAGCCAAACTGGTCAGGGCTGATCAATGATTCTTTCTCATCATTGATGTTTCTATCTCTCACTCTCTATTTCTCTCTGAAATCAATAAAAAATATATTTTAAAAAAAGAAGACATTCATGACCTTGAATAATTTTTTTTAATTTGGCATTTTCTGCCTTCTATATTTAAATCTGTGGATTCCTTTTCAATACAGTAATTTCCAAAGGAGTAGTAAACATAAGAGTTGGTTAAAAAAAAAAGGCAAGATGGTAGATTGCAAATTCCAACATTAAAGTAATGTTATAACTTTGTTTTCTCCAATGGCTTAAAATACTTGAGACAAATTAGGAAAAAGAGACTAAGTGATTCAACCATGTGTGGTTAAACTTTAAATTATAACTTAATGGGAAAATATTAATGTAGATAAAACCAATAAATATTGGCCTTGGAAGAAAATTTCAAGCCTCAGGATAAAATTGTATTGGACTAGAGCATTAATCAAATGTAAAGTAAATAATAATAAAGATATATACATTTTTTATTGTTGTTGTTGTTGTTGTTAATCCTCACCCAACGATATTTTTCCATTGATTTTTAGAGAGAGTGGGAGGGAGGGGGAGAGACAGAGAAAGAAAAACATCGATGTGAGAGAGACACATCAATTGGTTGCCACCTGCATGTGCCTGACCAGGGCCAGGGATTGAGCCTGCAACTGAGGTATGTGCCTTTAACCAGAATCGAACCCAGGACTCTTCAGTCTGAGGGCCAATACCAGTGATGGCGAACCTATGACACGCGTGTCAGAGGTGACACGCGAACTCATTTTTTTGGTTGATTTTTCTTTGTTAAATGGCATGTAAATATATAAAATAAATATCAAAAATATAAGTCTTTGTTTTACTATGGTTGCAAATATAAAAAAAAAATTCTATATGTGACACGGCACCAGAGTTAAGTTAGGGTTTTTCAAAATGCTGACACGCCGAGCTCAAAAGGTTCGCCATCACTGGCCAATACTCTATCCACTGCACCAAACTGGCTAGGGCATAATATATTTTTTAATCTTCACCCAATCATATGTTTTTATTGATTTTTTTAGAGAGATTAAGAGAGGAAGAGAGAGGGAGAGAGAGAGAAACCTATCGATGTAAAAGAGAAACATCAACCAGTTGCCTCCTATACACACCCCAATCCGGGATGGAACTCACTACATAGGTATGTGCCCTGACCGAAAATTGAACCTGCAACCTTTTGGTGTATGGGATGATACTCCAACCAAATGAGCCATCCAGCCAGGGCAAAGCAAGAATAATTTAAAGCAATAATCATTATTAATTTCAACAAAGTTTTATTGAGCATCTACTATGTGCCTGAATACTCAAGGATACCTATATAAATATTTTTACCCTGTCCTCAAGTAGACTTAGTAACTCCATATCTAGCAAACATCACCATTCATAAATGACCTTAATGTGTTTTCTCATATCTGAGTACCTATTTATAGCAAGCATTATTAAATAATTTTCTTTAAGTTGACTCCATGTTTGTTTGTTTTAAATGCATACTTTATTATAATTCTAAGCAATAATGTACATAAAAGCTCAGATTTATTTTGTTTCTATTATATTTGCAAAAAATACATAATATCTTCTCACTTTCTTTTTTCTTTATTCCTCACCAAGGATATTTTTCCATTGATTTTTAGAAAGAGTGAAGGAAGGGAGGAAGGAGAAGGAAGGGAGGAGTCAGGGAGGGGGAGAGAGAGAGAGAGAGAGAGAGAGAGAGAGAGAGAGAAACATCAATGTGAGAAGGGCACATTGATTGCTTGCCTCCTGCACGTGCCCTGATCCAGGCTCTGACCTGAGCTGGAATTGAGGCTATAACCGAGGTACATGCCCTTGACCAGGAATCAAACACACAACCCTTTGGTCTGTGGGCTGAGGCTCTAACCACTGACCAAAATCAGCTAAGGCCCTCTCACTTTCTATACACACTTTTTTGTAACACTTAATACTTTGTCGGTACCTCTGGCTCTCTTTTACCACTGGGATTACCAGGACACACTTCTCCACTTCATTTAAAGTAGGCATGAGCCCATGACATACTATAGCCAATGAAATATGAAGCAGACGTAACATGTAAATGCTTTTAACTGTTGTTATTTAATTCTCCAGCCCACTCATCTCTGATGAAAGCACCTGCTGATATAGAGGAAACATCTTGGAAGGATGAGCACAACTTCCTTAAATAGTCGCCTGGACCAGCCATTGATTTGTCCTGAGTGAGAAATGAACCTTTATTGTATTATGCTATTGAGATTTGGTCACAACCACAGCATTCCCTAGTCGACCCTGCCTAATATGACAGTACTTGTAGTTTGAGTCTATAATTGTTGATTTCCTTGTGTGAGTGTCTCCCCACTAATACCTGAGGTCCAAAGGGCAGGGAATCCTATCCTATATAATAAAAGGGTGATATGCAAATCAACCGAACAGTGGAACGACCAGTTGCTATGATCCGCACTGACCACCAGGGGGCAGGCACTCAATGCAGGAGCTGCCCCCTGGTGGTCAGTGCACTCCCACAGGGGGAGTGCCGCTCAGCCAGAAGTCAGCTGATGACTGGCGAGCGCAGCGGCGGTAGCTTAGGCCTAAGGGAATGAGCCTAAGCAGTCAGTCAGACATCCCCTGAGGGCTCCTGGACTGCAAAAGGGCGCAGGCCAGGCGGAGGTACCCTCCCCCACCTTGAGTGCAGGAATGTCGTGCACCAGGCCTCTATTAATCTATAATGTCACTGTCCTATCTCCAGTACCTAGAACAGTCCTTGGGATGTAATACACAATTAAAAAATGCTTGTTAAGTGAATGAATAAATGTTCACCAAAAATCATCTCATTTATCTACCAGCCATTGATGTATGATACTTTCTGAATAATAGAAGGGGAAATGAGACATGTACTCAAAAAGCAAAAACTGTTAAGTTTTCTGGGAGACCTGCTACAGTACTGAGTGTCTAAAGGAGGAAAATGTTTTTCTGCACTGACTATTGGGAGTGAGCACTGGGGTGTAGTGTTGACTAACTTAAAAAAAAGGTGAAGAAGGAAAAGAACTAAAACACAGATGTCCTATTACATACTAGACACTATACAAGAAGTTTATAAATGCTTCCTCAGTTAAACCACACAAACACCTGAAAATGGGTATGATTTTCTCAATAGTAAAGTATTTCAGACTTTACTGTTGAGAAAATTGAACGGGATGGGGTTTAACTACCCCATCCAAGTTCACACCCAGTTATAACACGGTAGAGGGCTATTTGTGACTTATCCTATATAATAAAAGCCTAATATGCTAAGTGTCTGGTCGGCCATTCAACCAATCAAAGTGTAATATGCTAATGATATGCTAAGGCCGCTCAACTGCTTGCTATGACATGCACTGACCACCTGGGGGCAGACAGTCAACCTGTTGACCAGTCACTATGACATGCACTGACCAACAGAGGGCAGACGCTCCAACCAGTAGGTTAGCTTGCTGCTGGGGTCCGGCCGATCGGGACTGAGCAAGATGGGCCAGACATGCCCTGGAGCCCTCCCACGTTCCCTCTCTGGCTGGCCAACCTCCTGTGTCCCTCCTCGGCCCCGATTGTGCACCGGTGGGGTCCCTTGAGCGTGGCCTGTGCCCTCTCGCAATCTGGAACCCCTTGGGGTATGTTGGAGAGCCGGTTTCGGCCAGATCTCACAGGCACAAATTCGTGCACCAGACCTCTAGTGTCCGTATAAAGTCCAACCCCAGGCTTGTTCCTAAGCATCATTTGATAGAGCTTATAAATGCCTTATACTAAAATTGGATGAGATAATCTTCGTGTTTAAAACAGAAAACTTACAGTCTACATAAAAGTCTTAAATAAGTCAGTGTGTCTTCATAGAAACAGATGGTGTTGAACAAACAGACAACTGGGAAGAAAGAGCAGGCACGACCTTCCATCAAATAGCATACACTCTATTTGTACCACAGGCCTGATGGTGAATTATATGTGTCAACATGGCTGGGCTATGGTGCCCAGTTGTTTAATCAAACACTAATCTAGACATTGTTGTAAGGTATTTCTTTTAGGTGTCATTAACATTTAAAAAATCAGTAGACTTTGAGTAAAGCAGATTATTCTCCGTAATGTGTGTGGGCCTCCTTCAAACAGTGTGAGGGTTTAAGAACAAAGACTGAGATCTTTTAAGAAGAAAGAAGTGCTATCACCAGAATGCCTTTGGCCTCAGGACTCAATATCAACTCTTTCCTGAGTCTCCAGCCTGCCAACAATAACCTGCATTTTTTGGATTTGATTGCCCAACAATCACATGTGCCAATTCCTTAAAATAAATCTCTCTGTGTACACACACACACACACACACACACACACACACCTTACTCATTGCAGTTCCCCGGAGAACCCAAACAGAACAGGTTAATAAAATAAGGAGAATATGGTAGCAATGAAGTTCAGTGAAATAGGAACTGAGACATTCCTAATACATGTCTATAATGCTTTTTAATACAGCTTAACAAAATATATAGCCTTAAAAGTCTCTGTCCTTGTAACCCAGTAATATTAGTTCTATGAATCTAAAACAGATCATCATTAGAAGTTGAAGAATAGGAAATTAGAAAAACCTGAATGTCCAACTCAAGTTCATGAAATAAACTCACTATAAAATATGATTCAACCATTAAAGTGATACGTAGAAACATCTTCACAATTTGGCAAATGCTTAAGTTGAATAGCTAATGGAAAAAAAAATGAGAACACAACATTATATATGCTCTCAACAATGAAATATAAACACACACAAGAGAATAGAAGAACAACAGTGGGACCTTTTCTCTGTGATGGGGTTAGTAGCAATTTTACTTCTCTCTCTCTCTCTCTTTTTTTTTTAAATAATCACCTGAGGATATTTTTTTTTCTTTTAGAGATAGTGGAAGGGAGGGAGGAAGCAGGGGTGGAGAGGGAGGAGAGAAACAACGATGGGAGAGAGACACATCGATTGGTTGCCTCCTGCACATGCCCCAACCAGAGCTGGGGTCAAACCTGCATCCCAGTTACATGCCCTTGACCCAGAATCAAACCCGAGACCCTTAGTTGCACAGGCCAGTGCTCTAACCACTTAGCCACATCACCCAGGGCTTGCTTCTCTTTTTGATAAATATTGACATTTTCCAATTTGTCCCAAAATGAGTATATATTTTATTATTTTAAATGGATATTATTTCAAAATACATTTTAATAAGTATATTTCTGGGTATGTTTTTTATTATTAGCTGACAAGAAATGTTTAAACAACCAGAGGTGACAGTATCAAAATAAATTGCAGTGTATTTTAAGTAGCCATTTCCTTCTGACCTGGATCAGACATCAATTTAAGAAAAGTGTAAATCTTTCTTTAAAATCTAGGAGCATTAATTCTACATCAAAAAAATGTCAAAACTCTCATGTAAGACCCCAAAACAAGCATCCTCATTGAATGAAAGAATAACAGCTATCAATGACATATCTTTGAAAAGATTTAAAAAAAAACTGCATAAGAATCCAAGACTTTCGTTTTTTAACATAAACTAATTCTGTCTTTGTGCTTCTGAGTTTCTCATAAAGTTATTTGTAAAATAATATGAATGCATCCCTGCCAGCTTGTTTTGCAATATGTTGTAGGAATAGGGACTTTATTTTGTCTATCTTTATGTCTTCCTCTATATTTCCATGCAAAGAGTTCCACTGAGCCAATTTTGTCCCAATGTAGCTGTGCAATTCGAATGGCCCTTCTCACCAGCTCACCTTCTGCCAGGCCTTGGTGCCATCATTGAACCAGAGCTTTGGAAAACACTAACCGAAAGTCTCAAAGTAGGAAAAGATGAATGGCCGCTTTGTCCCATGGAAAACGTATTTTTCTAAAGGAATATTATCACTTTGTATTGACCGCCCAGCTTCCCGCTGTCAATAGCTAAGCAAGTTGGATCGATAGGACCAGATGTGATCGGCTGAACTGATTCTTTTCCCTAGAAAAATCCAGACATGCACAAGTCCAGTCTGAAAGCTACTACTGAATGGAATTGCCAGCTAAAATATAAGACCTCCAGTGAAATTTGAAGTTCAGACACATTTTCATATAAGTATGTCCCAAGTATTGCGTATGGCATGACTCATGAACTATTGGGGCCATCCTTATAGAAAGTATTTTAAATATATATATATATATATATATATATATATATATATATATTAATTTCATATATATATTATTATTAATTATTATTATTATTAATTTCAGAGAGGAAGAGAGAGGGAGAGAGAGATAGAAACATCGGTGATGAGAGGGAATCATTAATTGGCTGCCTTCTGCACACCCCCTACTGGGGATCAAGCCCGCAATCTGGGCATGTGCCCTTGACCAGAATCAAACCCGGGACCCTTCAGTCTGCAGGCTGACGCTCTATCCACTGAACCAAACCGGCTGGGGCCTTATAAAAAGTATTTATTGCTTGTGTGAGATGCCAATTTAGCTGGGTGTTCTGTGTGTTTATTTCCTAAATCTGGCCAGCCTGCTCCTAATGGATGCACCGAAACACTTTACAGGCCTTTCAGGGGACACAAGAATGGGGAGAATTCAAATAGAATGACAACTAGCCACGCTTAACATTTTCAATCCTCTTTATACGCCAACCAGGTGAACCCAAAAGTCCCCAAAGGAAGTCTCCCTTAAGAGAGTTCAGCCACAGTCATGTTCTCTATATGAATCCATAGTTTTCCAGGAGCTGTTTTCATTGTCATTGTAAACTTGTTCCTGTTTTTGTTTGCTTGTTTGTTTTTAACATGAGGGGAAACAAACCGTTTTTCTAAAACTGTAATTCACCACAGTAAAGTGCCTGTGAAGAATGACAAACGCCCCGATCCCTATTCCTGTTATCAGAAAAGTCCAATTTAGAGAACCAGACGATTGTGGAAAACACAGGAGACGAAGGGCAGTGCTACCCAAAGTGTGTTCCCCGGGCCAGTGCTGCCCCGCAGGCTCTCACATGCACCAGCAAGTGCGGGGATCTGGATTACGTGTTCAGCAACTTTCTAGTAACTTGCAGAAGAATTGTATGTCTCTTGTGTCTAAATAATAAAAGTTTGGACTTGTATTTTAAAAATCTGTGGTTTGGGGTTTTTTGTTGTTTTAGTTTTATTTTTTTGTTTTGCATTTCACTTTTCTAGTGATTTCTAGTGTGTTTTACAAAAATATTAGGTAGGGTCGGTTGGAAAAGAACAAAAAAAACAGTCCTTTGTGACAGATAGTTTGAAAAGTCTTGATCCAGAAAATATACAACTACATCCTTTCTTTTCATTTTCATTTACACACTGCTGGTGGTAAATTACCTCGGTGTGTTTTCTGATTGCAATGTAAAGAATAATGAAACCAACATGCACTACAAAGGAAACACTTCATTCTCTGAAATTTACCCTTCTTGTTTTCCTAACTCTTTCTCTTTTCTGTGTGTATTCCTGTCCCTCTCTGTGCCACCTTGTTGACCCCTGGGAAGATATTAATAGCACCAAACCCCAAGCCAGGAGGTGGGGGGCTTCTTGCCTGAGAGACTGACCCTGGCAAGATCCACTTCGCAGCGGGAGCCTCAGTTATCTCATGTGCAAATGTGGGCTGCAATTAGGTCAATTTAAGGTCCATTTCTGACTCTGACACTTTGCAATGCCAGGATGTACTTGTTGAACTAAGATGAGACTGTATCTTTTTAAAAATATTTTTTTTATTGATTTCAGTGAGAAGGAAGAGAGAAATAGAAACATCAATTATGAGAGAGAATCATTGATGTGCTCATGTCATTGCCTGCCTCCTGCTCGCCGCCCACAGGGGATGGAGCCTGCAATCCAGGAAATATGCCCTGACCGGATCACGAACCGTGACCTCCTGGTTTATAGGTCGATGCTCAACCACTGAGCCACACCAGCTGGGCGAGATTCTTATAAGCTACAGAAATACTGGGGCTGGCCCCTGCGTGGAAGGGGAGGCTCACTCCAGCAGAACAAGGTTGACATCCTCCAGCCAGGGGCTCTATGGGACTTCCAGCCATTCCCAGCATCTGCGGACTGGGAGGCCCCAACTCCAAAAATAGCCCCACAAATTATAATTTGCCTTCCAGAGGTGACATCTCCTTGAATGGCACTCAATCACGGCCATCCAGTGAGCCTGCCACTGTTGCCGATGCCTCAGAAACAGTTCAATTCCTGGCAGTCTAGATGCACCATCCCGGGGGCTGTCAGTACTCGGAATGTTTACGCTCATTATGCAGTCAGGAAACATAATTATGCCTTTTTCTTTAAGGAAGTTTACGACCGAAGGTAATGGGTGGGACATAAATGCCCTGACTGTTTACTGAGACTCATAAATGCTAAGATCACAGACAAATAATCGTCACTTGGAGATTTGTTCTTGCAGCAGAGAATCTTCGTTTTTAGCAATTTAATGACCAAAAGTTTACCCACCTTGAGGATAATTATTTAGGAGGAAATAAAACTTAGTGCTCATTTCATTCCCTGCTCTGCCAGCTTTCATCCTTGCGGAAAACCGGCTTTCACATAAAATGTGCGGAAGGCAGCTTGCTATAGAGGGCTAGTAAAAGGAAGAGGCATTGAGGACAGGCAAAAGCTTTCAGTAATAATGCCAAATTCTTTCCGTTAACAGAGATCCAGATCAACGTTAATGAATATGTTTCTGTTGTCCTCTCTGAGAGAGACACTGTGTCTTACAAATGCTCAATAAAGAAAAAAGAAGGAGAAATCTGTTCTGGCCACTTAGGAAAAACAAAATGGTCAGAATTTAGTGAGTGCCATCAAATGCTCACACTTATTTTTTTAAATATCTTTTTAAATATCTTTTTATTGATTTCAGAGAGGAAAGGAGAGGGAGAGAAAGATGGAAACATCAATGATGAGAGAGAATCATTGATCAGCTGCTTCCTGCACGCCCCTTACTGGGGACCGAGCCCACAACCCGGGCAGGTGTCCTGACCAGCAATCGAACCATGATCTCATAGTTCATAGGTCGACGCTCAACCACTGAGTCATGCCGGCTGTGCTGCTCATACTTCTCGAGAGTTAAGAATCCATGTCTGGCTAGGGTGGGCCGATGGTCAGGCTGAGCTCACAGGGGACTTTCCGGGATGGTCTGGCACTACAGAGTGGAGAAACTAGTGTGAAGCCACTGGGACTTCGGGACTCCTGGTCTCCTATAGCATCTGCCACAGAGACAGGTAAATGGTGACATTATGTTGGAGGGCAGGGAGGGGGCAGAGAGGTGGTAATTCAGCATGTAGGTGGCCAGCCAGTGGCTTCTTCCCTTCCCCGGTGGACAATTACATTACATGTGACAGTTAACCGTGGCTCACCCTCTCCAGCCATAGCCAGTCTCTCAGGGTCCCCAGAATGCTGCCTTGGCAAGCAAAGAGAGTTAAAAGTGAACCATCCCAACAAACGGCATGTTTTGTTTTAATGCTGAGCAAGACTCCTCACCAGCTCATCTCTTTTCCTTTCTTTCTACATCCAGTGGGGAAGGGAAGTGGGAGCTTTTCGGGATTGGCACCGTGACATTAAACAGCCCCTTGCAGGAGGGCACCCAGAAGCCTTCCTGGTACCTGCTTTGGGGGGTGGCAGGAAGGGATGTCAGTGTATCTCCATGAAGCAGCAGTTGCAAAAGGAGGCATCTGGATTGGAGATGCTTCTTGTTATTGCTCCTTTAGGCTGCAAATGCTGGGTTCTCCGTCCATAAAAAGAGGCAAATGCCCAGCCCCAGTGTCTCAGTGGTTGAGCGTCAACCTATGAACCAGGAGGTCATGGTTTGATTCCTGGTCAAGGGCACATGCCACAGTTGTGGCTTGATCCCCACTAGGGGGCGTGCAGGAGGCAGCCTATCAGTGATTCTCTCCCATCATTGATGTTTCTATCTCTGCCTCTCCCTTCCACTCTGAAATCAATAAAAAAAAATTTTTTTGTTTAGAAAAAGGAGGCAAATACATCAATAAAAAATATTTTTTAGAAAAAGGGGGCAGATACAGAGGGAAGTCAGTCTGTCTGTCAGTGTGATGGACTCCCATCAAACTGCAGTCCGGTAAGAGATACCTTACTCTTCGTCTCTCTCTGACTAGGGGTGTGGAGAGCTTGTGCCAACGTTAGGGCTCATAGTGGCCTGGAGACTAAGATTCCTCTATTCCCTCCAGGAGAGTTGTGCGCATGTTACCAGCGACAGGGGACACAGGCCGGGGATCACTGTGCTCAAATGGACCTGTGGGTTCCACGTGCAATCGTTACACAGTTGCCGTCCAGCCCAGCTTATTTATTTCTGCTGCAAACTCTAAAAATTAGTTCAGTTTCTTGGTAACGAAACACTTGTGTCAAAGACCCTTGAACCGTGGTCGGCAAACCGCGGCTCACAAGCCACATGCGGCTCTTTGGCCCCTTGAGTGTGGCCACAAAGTTTCAATCGCACTGTACCTGCGCGCCCGCACGTGGTATTTTGTGGAAGAGCCACACTCAAGGGGCCGCAGTTTGCCGACCGCTGCCCTAGAAGAACCACACAGTGTTGTTCCACAAGTTTGTAATGAAAGGGTCTATCTATATGACCAGGGATAAGTGTATGGAATTCAGTATGTTTGATTTGGGGAATCACTTTCTGCCAATTCCCGGATAACCAATGGCCCATTATAATATTGTACATTATCCGTGCTAAGAGGAGCTGATGTAGAAATATTTACGCTCCCCATCCATAAACATTTCTTTCCTCCCCAAACAGGAAAGGACTGAGATTCTCAAGGCTTTCATGTGATTTATTCTCCATTGAAGGAATGTGATTTTTTATATCGGGTATGGGTTTCCTTTAGTATTGTTTTGAAGTGCCTGCCTTTGAAATGACTGCTACAATGAAGATCCTGACCACTTGCCCTTGTTAAATATCTGGGGATCCTTTTCCCCAGCAAATGGGAAGGGCCTCCTGATAAGCCCTGGCCTCATTTCAATTTGGGTAATTGCATCCTGTCGACTTGAAATGTCCCTGTCAGTTTCATGGGCCTGGGATCCGAGGCCTCATTCACAGTCCTGACTGCCTGGTGTGCCGTCGGAGGCTGGGCAACAGCTGGTGCATTCCAGCCCAGAAGTGGATGCATTTCAGTGGCAGGTGCAAAGGTTTTCTTTGGCCGAATACAAATTCTAAGCTAGGAATAAGCTTCATGGATGCTTTTCCCCCCAATAAACAGAAGTAACTACCAGGAAACCAAAAATATAAAAGTACCCAAAGCATAAATGTGAATTGGGAGGAAAATAAATACACATGTACTAAAACCAGTTCTTTGTGTGATCATTTTGCACTCTGAATCTTATCAAGCGTCTAGATGTGAATGCTGACACTAAGGATAAATAATTCACATAAAGCAGACAGCCCTTCCCCTTCAGAAAGAAATTATTTTATATGTGTATACACACATACATGAATGCATGCACATATATGCATGTGTATATGCATGTGTGTGCATGTATGTGTGTATCTTTGTGTGTATCCCAACTGTTACCTCTCTCTCTAGAGAGTCTTCCTCGGTCTGGTATAAAAGCAATTTTCCCCATGAAGCCGCACAGTAGGTATCTTACTTATACATCATTTGAGTAACACTTTTTAAAAAATATATTTTTATTGATTTCAGAGAGGGAGAGAGAATAGAAACATTAATAATGAGAGAGAATCATTGATCGGCTGCCTCCTGCATGCCCCGACTGGGGATAGAGCCCACAACCTGGGCATGTGCCCTGACCTGGAATTGAATCCTGACCTCCTGGTTCATAGGTCAATGTTCAACCACTGAGCCACGCCAGACGGTTGAGTAACACTTTCAGTTGTAATGAGCTTATCTCCTGCACCAAAAGGTATCTTAAAAGGTATCCTTATCCACTTGTCTTCTCAGCACACCAAGAACATAATAGGTACTCAATAAATGAATTAAAATACATAGGCCAAACCTAATTAGTTTTAAGCTCTAACCCACCATCTGCCCCCACTCCCCCACCCCCAATGCTATTTCTAAGGGCTGCAAGTTAAGGTATATTTTTC